GTTTGTTTTTTAATCCTCCTCACCTGATACGTTCATTGACCTCAGAGAGAGGAAGGGAGACACAGACGGGGAGAAACATCAATGTGAGAGAAACATTGATTGATTGCCTCCCATACACTGGCCAGATGTGGAGAAAAGGAAATACTCTTTTCCAGTTCGTGTTTTCATTTTCGTTGGCTAAATACTCAGATCTGGCCAGTGATCGAACTTGACCGGAATCGAACCTGGGACCCTTGAGTCCGCAGGCTGATGCTCTATCCACTGAGCCAAACTGGTTAGGGCTGTTCGTTTGTTTTTTAATCCTCACCTGAGGATACATTCATTGACCTCAGAGAGAGGAAGGGAGACAGACGGGGAGAAACATCAATGTGAGAGAAACATTGATTGATTGCCTCCCATACACTGGCCAGATGTGGAGAAAAGGAAATACTCTTTTCCAGTTCGTGTTTTCATTTTCGTTGGCTAAATACTCAGATCTGGCCAGTGATCGAACCTGAAACCTGGGTATGCGCCCTAATGGGGAATTGAACCCACAACCTCTTGGTGTATGGGATGATGCACCAACCAATGGAGCCACCCAGCCAGGGCTGCACGATCATGTTTTTGGATGTGATTCCCCGTTCACTGATGGATCACCCAGCACCAACCTTTGCTCATAAAAATCAAGTATTAGCCCTTCAAAGACGAGGAAATGGAGGCAGAATAAGACTGAGTCATTTGCACAGGTCACATAACTCACAAGTGGCTCCAACAGGATTTGATCCCATTGCTGTGGGCCCAGGGTCTGCTCTCTCTGAGCCACGTTGACTCAGTTTACCTGGCTGCACCTCTCTGTATTCAGGCCTGGGTGCCCGTCAGCTTGGAGGGGCTTTGGGAACGGTGTCCTGCCTGTTCTGAGACCATCCCGAGTTGAATGTCACCATGGGTGTGGCACAGTGTCTGTCTTCCCACAGCAAAGACCAGAAACTCTCCTACTGGCGGGCTCTGTGCTGCGTGTTCACCAACAGCAGGGACTTCCAGATGCTGGATTTGGACAACTGCATTTTCAACGAGGCCTCCCAGGCGATCCTCTGGAAGGCGCTGGCTCAGCCCACTTGCAAACTTCAAAAGTTGGTGTAAGTGGGGTGTCACCCTGTTTTTTTTCATAGTAGACATCCATTCTCTCCATTCTGGCTTTTGAAAAAGTAAGTATGGTTAGTGTGCAATCTTATCTCTATATATAAAAGCCTAAGCGACCATTACCACTGGTTGACTGCTCGCTATGAGGTGCACTGACCACCAGGG